TATATATATATATAATATTGTAAGTAAATAATATAAACGTATATACGTATATGCTGTTTTTACATATACAGTATATATAAGTAAATACTTAGGTGGGAAGAAGTGAATTTTTTGGAATTTAAGAAATTTATTTTTTAATACTGTTTTTAATTTGCATTTCTCTTAAAAAAAAATTATTTATTAGAACTGCCTAACAATGAGACGATCATCGTCTCTTGGAAGAATTGCTTTCCTTTCTTGCTCAAGCATAAATATTAATTATATATACGTTATATTCAAATCCTTCTGTTGGCAAATTATTAAATATATTCAAATCCTTCTGTTGACAAATTATTAAAAAATTAAATAAAAAATATCCTTTTATTTTCCAATATGAAGTTAAATTCGTGCGGTAATGTATATTATATTATGTCCGAAATATCAGAGAAAGTGATAACTTTTTAATAGACAATGAGCAAACGTTAAAATTTCTTAAATTCTTTGTTGCTCAGAGCCACGTACTTGATAACATACTTCAAAATCATTAAAATTGAGATCGTCACTATTCAATTTTATCAATTATTTTTTTGGATACATAAATTAAATGAAAAATTTATTATATTATCTCTCTCTCTTTCTCTTTTTAATTATAATTTATATTAATTTTATATAATATATAATTTTTATATTAATGCAATAATTATAATTTGAACGAGACTGCATATATAAATACACAATTAAATTCAAGCGCCTTCCACGGTCACGGCTGGATCTTACAATTAGTGCCTAATAAATTCTATATGAATTTCTTAATTCATTATTCAGCCGTTTTAAATTGCGTGCCAGATCAATTTTATATTTCTATTAATTTTGTTTATGATTACCTCGGTTGTCTTCCTATGCAGACGGTTGCGGTATCGACAAGTAAAGCTGGAAGCAGGTGCCAGAAGTATACGAAAAAGAGATGCACTATCCTGTGCTTATTATTTCTAAAGCTGTAGTACCAAACCGCTCTGCAGGAGGGAATTTCGAGACCATATTTCGATGACATTTCCTTCAGTTCGTCATAAGTTATCGGATTGTCAGTAGCCACGTAATTATAAATCGGAACCTCACCCTCACTTCGCGATTTGTTGTTCGTGCTGGAATGACATATGGTACATTCGTGATGCAATGTCATATGATACATTCATATTTACACTGTCGCGAATTTTTATGGCTACATATATGTAAGTATATATGTGTATAAATACATCTGTAATTTTTCAAGTTTCTTTATTGTGTGACATAAATAATGTGCAAATGTATAAGTAGAAATATAATTAATGTGTCACTTTCGGCAGGACAATTCCGCTTTCAAAGTGATTGTTTTATTATTCTACCAAACATGACACACTATATGAATAATGTGTTGTGTATTATTTTTTTAAATTATTATTTGTGTAGTTATCTTTACATTCATACATTCTCTCCTTCCTTTTTTCCTTCAATATAAGATTGTCCTTCAATCCGAAACATCTGCGTTAAATATGACGCAATCTACAAATCGTCTGAAGGCTAGCTCTATGTGTCAAACTGAAACTTTTCATGTCGCTAATGTCAAGTGTCGCGTACATAAAAAAGAAAGAGCGTCACATTATAAGCCAAAATATTTGACATGTGTATTGTTCTGAATTATGTGCCATCACAATTATGCAGGGAATAAAAAATGACAGTGAGCACCTTTGATCGTTCGCTACGTCCCACGCGCATGCGATTAGAGCGTTGACTGTCAAATCGGCAGGTACCACGTTCGCGTGCACCGAGCCGTCACAATGGATCGATCGCAGTAATCCAGTTCCAGCACCAGCTGCAACTCCCGTTGGACCGTACAGATTGTCGATCCATCCTCGCGTCGGTTCCTGATATGTTGAGATCACTGAAATAAAATCGCAGATTATTTGTAAAGTCTGGACAACAATTAAATTTATTAAGCCACTAATTGCACATGTTATTATTACAATTAATTAATTGTAACTAATTAGTGTACTGACATATAATTATAAATGATTAATACATCAATCTTGGCCATTAGTATAAAACACTCTGAATGTACGTATTATATTTTCTTTAAAAAGGTAATACAAAAAAGCCAAAGGAGGACTAACAAAATATTAAAATTGTCATGAAAATAAATATTATTTTTTAATAAAATAATTTTTCAATTTATTTTTCGTTTGATAAAAAATTTAGTCAATTTGTGGGGATGTTTTGTAGCAAATACTTTAACCAAGATTGTGTACTATGACAATTATCTCTATTAAAACAATATATCTTGAAAATCGTTTTTTCTCCAAAAAGTTTTGTTAAAACTTTGTATAAGTTTCTATTGTATTTTAAGATTTATATATTGTTTAATAAAATACATATAATAATATAATAATGTCCTGTGAAATAATAATGCCCTAATAATAATAATAATAATAATAATAATAATAATAATAATAATAATATCCTGCGTCTCTAATTTGGAATTATATTATAAAAAAATTATTAGTTATGCGAACCAATGGCAGGACGAAAAATGCCGATCGGTAAGTCGCCAGCTTGCTTCTTGATCACGTTCTCAGCAACTGCCTTCGTGAAGGTGTAGGTATTTGGCCATTTTCCTAATAATCTGTAAACAATAAAATCTTCTTTACGCTTCTCCCTCCACGCGCATTAAAAGAATTCAATCGGAAAAGGATTTCACGTACTGCGGAGTGATATCTTCAGCCAGCTTGTCTTCCACACATTCCATTAGCGCGATTAGTTTATCAGAGTCCATTGGCGGGTCATAAAACTTCTCCTCGATTACACTTTGCGGACAATTTGCATACGCAGTCGAGACGTGTATAAAAGACTGGAAAATTGCATAAAATGGCGTCGTTCAAGTTAAACAAGGACGTGTATGTGAACAATCGTATGTATAATATGTCAAGAAAACCAGAAGAGTTTCTGACTCTGCCCTGGTGTAAAAAATTCTCATAATATTTAATAAAAATTTTTCCTTATATTAAATTTATAATTTTTGAAGAAATATCTTCTATTATATTTCTAAAGAAATACTATTAAAGTTTTTCAGATTTTACAAATCTTCTACAGAACAATTATAATGAGAAATCTTAAAAATCTTAAGAAAAGCTATATACTTTCTCAGCATTTCTAAAAATTGTTCTAATTTGTATAAAAAAATTTAACAATAAAAAAATTTTTTAAAAGTTATAAAATTATACGGAAATAAACTAAAAAATTCTGAAATTTATATAGAAATTCTGAAAAATTATATAAATTCTAAGAAAAATTTTCACCAGGGTGTTATTTGAATTAAAATCAAACAATATTGTTTCAAAGAAAGGTTCATCGATTGGACAAGTAATATAAAATATTTTTCACAGTTTTTCTTTTTTCAAACATTTGGGCTTTACAATACCTTCAAGTTCATGATCTCCTTGCAGAGGTTTACAACGTCCCTCGTACTTCTCACGTTTATGGGCACTGCTAACTTCAACTTCTCGTCGAATCTGACCGTAGCCGCGACGTGAAAAACAATCGAAACTTCCCGGATGAGGGTGGCCCGATCTTGAGCGGATATTCCGAGATTCGGTTGACTGCAGTCGCCCGCTATGGCGACGATCTGATGCCGGAATTTGGGCTGTTCGTTTCTGAGCTTTGCAAATACCTGGGAAAATTGAAATAATAACAAACCCATAGTTAATCAAATACAGAAAGACTTTTGTCACTATCTTGTTAATCGATTCAATGTGATAATAAAAAAAATTATTAAAGGAATTCTCTTAAAAGGCAAATGAAGCGCTGACGCCAAAGTATTTGGTATCCATCGATGACGCACGTATTATACGCGGAAATTTGTATAGCATATGTGATGTGGACAAAGAAGATGTTTAATTTGTTTCCACTTTGATTATTACACGGAAAAAATAATTTTGCTAAAGTAAATTTAAAAATCTATCTAAATATTAAGATTTGAAAATTTTATTGAACTTGGTATCGAAATAATTATATAGGATGCTCAAGCATAACAGCACGTCCGAAATCGAAACAAAAGTCTTGATGATGTTTTTAAGACGTTTTATATTCCTATTTTGGACATGCGTGCTGTCTGGGAATAAACAATGCTTTAAAAAGTTTTGATCTTCTCCTTGACAACCTGCCTTGATCATACTATATAATTATTTTGATTGTCTAACAAAATTATTTTTAGATCTGTGTTTAGCTAAATTTTTAGATACTCTATAGCAAAACCATTTTTTCAGTGTATATTTTAATATAACGGATTTGAATCATAGAAATTATCAATTCATTATCGAAGCAATTTAGACGATTCAAAATGTAACTATTAACAAAAATTTTCCACATATTTCAAGGGTAGATTTCTTTTTAGAGCCTCACCGTATCGTCAAAGATCTCCTCGGTTCGTTGGTGCACGTCCTTGCCCTTCTTCGGGCGCACCAGCAGATAGATCGACGTCACTCCGGGACACGTCCTGAGGAGCTTCTCGATGAGCAGCTTGCCCATGAAACCGGTGCCGCCGGTGATGAAGATACTCTGGCCATTGTAAAACTCCTGGATCGGCGACAACTTCTCGTTTATGGGGGAATTCTCCGTCGGCGATTCTGGTATGCAGTCCGACTCGACGATGGTCACCTCCTGGCCATCGATTCGATCCAAGAGCACCTCCACCATCTCTTCGCCGAATTTGCACCTGCAGCAAAGGAAAAGAGCCACGTCTCTTTCTATTCCGGCTCGACTCGACTTGATATCCAATTCGTATTCGCGGTTTGACGCGTTACGAGGTCGACGCGTCGAATTTAAAAGATGACTCTTCCTTTTTCGTGAGCCGTCTCGATCGATTAGCCGATTCGCGTTTACGTCGATCGCGTCGCGTCGCGTCTCGCCTCGCTCATTATCACCTGTACGTGGACAAGGCGAATTCGCGAACGTCAACACCGTCCACGTGACAAATGGGATACGTGATGGATGAAGATTATTATTGCGATACCTTTATCGTGTAAAACCACGGATACGATTGGAGATTTTTTGTTTTTTTGTTTTTTTCTTTCTTCGAGGTGTTTGAAAACGAAATATTTGTCAGACGTAATATTCTAAAAAATCGGGTATCGTTATTCATTCTCTCTCTCTCCCTCTCTCTCTCTCTCTCTCTCTCTCTCTCTCTCTCTTTTGATAGATACATATAATCATACATTCCATAAATATATTAAGAGGATATTTATCTTCTTATTCTTCTTTGTTAAAGTATTCATTTTAAAAATAACATCTGTTGAATGCCAGTTTGTAAATCAAAATAATAAGCTGCGCATTTATAAATAACATCTACAGAATATATTTTTATCTCTTTTTCATTTAAAAAAAAATTTTATTCAAGAAAAACTATTACTATTATTTTCATTACTCCCGATTGTACGCATTTTTGTTTTTACTTTAATTTACAATCTTGAGCCTAATATTTCGTCTACAGTGCACAGAACAAGAATATGCCAAGATTTGTAATACCGATAAAAAATTGTTTTAATTTGTTAACAAATATGTCACGCATTGTGTAATAAGATATATATTCTGTTTACAAATCTTTTTACGTGTTCAATTCGTAAGGAGTTAAAGAATCCATCGGTTGCAATATTTAATTTTTTTATATTTTTGGATATATGACTTGAAATATATGTATATGTTACGTATAAATATGTCACGCATTGTGTAATAAGATATATGTTGTGTTTGGCGTTTGCAAATTTTTTTAAGTGTAAATATGTCATGCATTATGTAATAAGATATTGTGTTTACAAATTTTTTTCTATATATTGCAAAAGCATGTCAATTATTCATATACAGTAGATAAGAAAAAAATCTGTAAATACAACATATGTCTTATTACATGTAATGCATAACATATTTATATCGCGATATTGCTGCAATAGTGTCATATCTCGAAAAATGACATTTGAGTTATTCGTATAAAAGATGGATTTGGCGTGTATTTTTATCTGGTGATGAATAACTCAAAATTGTCAATTTTCGAGATATAATACTATTGCAGCTTACTATTGCAGCAATGCCGCGATATGTGACATATATTTTTCAAGATATATATCCAAAAATATAAAAGTTAAATATTGCAACCGTTAAATTTCTTAGCTCCTTGAAATTGAACGTTTTAAAAATGTGCAAAAACATAAACCTCAAACCCTATAAAGTCAAGGTATAAAAACATAAAATATAAAAATTCTGTTTAATTTAATAATCTAATAAGATTAAGATAAAGGTAACGGACACTTCAATTCCAAAATTAGCTAAATCCTTTCTTCAGCTGCAAATCTAAAATGCATTGTATTTTAATAAATAGAAATTGTATTTCTTATGCCATTATGTATATTTTGTTAAATTCGCATTTAATGATGAATTTGAAATGTCACTTTACTGTCTATGATTTATGTTTTACTAATTTCTACTAACAATAAATAAATTATTTTTCTATTACTAACAATAAGTTTAATTCAAATAATCATTTTCTTGTCAATGTATCAAGCTTTTCCGCTAAAAACCCCTTGCGCATAGACGAGTTTATGTGTTATATAAAAATAAAAGTATAAGTAGACATATAGAGTATCCCATTTTAAGTAAGACAGTTAATTATTTTCAAAAATAATTGATGATACTTATTGATACAAAGAAATGTTTCAGATAAAAGTGGAACGGTTTTGAGGGATCTCGATATCGGTATTCAAATAAAGGTCATTGAGGAAAAGTATTAAGATACAAGATCAAGAAATTAATAGTTTTATACTATATAGTTTACAAAATATACGAAATCTGCAAATTATGAGACGTCCCTCTCAAAACCATTAATTTTATTTTTATCTTCTTTGTATCAATAATTTGGGAGAAAATTGACTGCTTATTTAAAATGAGACACTCTGTATATACACGCACGGATTTTATTTCATCACTTAATTTAAAAAAGATAAAGATCTTATTAACTTGAATGATGAGAAAAATTATATAATTTTAATATAAAGATCTTATTGACTTGAATGATGAGAAAAATAATATAATTTTTTTTTGCTCTCATCAAAAAAAATTTCAAGTGAATTTAACGATTTTTGTCAACAATAGAAAACAATTGTTTCTTTTTTATTTTGAAAAAAAGTAAAACGGGTTTCTTACGATAAAAAATCGTTATTTTAACTAAAATCCTGAAAAAAAGAGAACTTATTAAAAACGAAATGAATTAATATATTAAAAATTTCACATTATTTTGTTTTTATGTGTCACTTTTATTTATAAATATATAATTATAATAAGTTCAGCTTATAGTAAAACGAAATTATGGGAAGTATCCAATGTAATATATATAATATATGATTAAAGAATAGTTAGAGATAATGATCGATAAAAGTTGTCGCAATAATTTTTAAATATTGAATATGTATAAAAACAAGTTTGTTAAATCCAGTTTAAACTTTTTGATAACAACGAAAAAACTTGTTTTTTCATTTAAGATATCAATAAGATTTATCTTTTTTTAAATAAAATTAAGTGATGATGGTGATAAAATAAGGATCCGTGCGTGAATCGCATTTTTTTAAAATATATATTTACACACACAGGTACCTAAAATAAAATACAGGAATATGTCAACAACTCGATAAACAAAAATCACACAAAATTTGTATAATTTGAAGGAGGCAAATAATTAAATAAAATCAATTTCCAAAAAACATCAATTTTTCACATGGTCATGTCCACTTTTTTAAAATAAAATTATATAAATTTTTTTACATAATATAATTCCTAATTATTCTACATATAAAAATATTAAGATAGAGTTACCAAAAAATGAACTTTACTTTTTACGAGATATTTTATATTTTATCACGCCATTTATTTCGACATAAAATATAAAATATCTCGTAAACTATTGATATGCTTGAAATTATATAACTTTTGTCTGATGCCCGTTTCCAATAAAGATTAACTTTAATTTCGGTTTAATTTATTCTTCATCTTTTTCTAATTCTTAGAACTAGAAAAAGAGTAAGTTGAACCAAGATTAAAATTAATCTATATTGGTGAAAATAGGCATGAAATATTTTTACCTACCGGATTTAGTTCTCAATATATTCCAGCATTTTGTTTTAAACACCCATCCTGTATACATGTATATGACGGCGCATAGAAATAGTATTTGCATTTAATTCACAACATATTGTTTGATTACATACATTTATTTATACATATATGCAAAAGATATTCTCTCATCTCGCTCAACGAAGATAAATTAGAAATTATAGATTAGACAATTATATGTTATTACTTGAAGAGTTTAAACATGCATACGATAATTTTCAATTCGTGATGAAATACGTATTCTGGAATGTGCTCATACTTCTTTTTTCAACCTGATGAGCCATCCGTTTCGAAATCAATATTTTCGTCGTCTTTCGACGATATCGGGGACAATCCGCGCGAATCAACGAAGACATTCGTGTCGCAAGGACGATGCGTTCAGGATATCAGGTTGCAGGATGCCAATTTAACTTATTCACGAGGACTCAATGCGCTTTGTTGGAAATCTTATTGTCTCGTTGTGTGCATTTCTTACGCAACAACAACACTCATCGATGCTTTACGTCTCCCCAAACGCATATACTTTTGCTGATATGTGGAAAAGCAAACGTCGCGTACCGCCGCGCCGCGCCGTTTCTTTTGCGGCGAAGAAGCAATAATATGGTATACCGTCGCGTACACACTCCCCTGCGCGCGGAGAGGACGGGCGACCCGTTAGGAGGATGATAACACGTCGTCTTCCAAATATCTCGTCGAGCGAGCGGAAAAAAAGCAAATATTCTTCTCTCGACGAAGGACATGCCGTTCCGCGAAGTCGGGAATATATCTCTACCCGGGTACGTACGTAACGTTTGAACAAGGCTCGGATCGCGCGCGGCTCGCGCACGCTGCCTCTCTCGATCAACGGCGAGTGCGATGCATACATTTACGCGGTATGTACATTCCGTCAGCCCGTCGTCGCCGGAAAGCGATGTTTGCTGAGTCGCTTTTTCAAGAGCTCCTTCCGATATACGTATACCGGAGTGCATGCAAAGTCGGTTAAGCCGGTTTTACCGATAAATGCACGTGCATGCGAGGTCCGCGCGCACCGCGTCATTCGTGATTAGCGTGTACGAGCGTGGACGGACGTGTTTTGTTATGCATGTAAAACATTTATAATGCGCAGAAGATCAAGACGACTTGTGAGCGTGTCTAAGCGCAAGGGCATTTTTTATTGCGTTTCCAATGCGAACGAAAGGTTTCTTTTTTTTTGCACGACGTCTGTCGCGCGCGACGCGACGCACGCACAGGGCGAGATCGGGACTTCTTGTCTTTCGGAGCGAAGTCGGGCCCGGACGGGAGAGAATCGTTGCCCTCGTTGCACCATTAATCTACCTAATCGATACCCTCCGTCCGTTTTCTCGGCTCTTTGTTTTCGCGATTTACCGTGTTGGGTTACCCACGTTTGTTCACTCGCGTGAATAATGCATAACCGATGTAGGTGCGTTCTACCACGATCGCACGAATATATCTATCGTCGCAGTAAAAAAAAAAGAAAAAAAAGAACTCTCGTTTCACGAAAGGAATAACGTGACATTTCTCTCTCATGCTTCACGGATGTTAAAGTTGTATTCTCATTCG